CTGTGTAGAGGTGTACAATAGTTAGTGTATTGCATATGTGGGATGTTGATTTGGGTGTTGTAACGGTAAGTAGAAGATGTGAAATGTGTCCAGAAATGGCCTTGTAAGGTGTAGCAAGTTTTGATTGGTCTTACCACACTGGCTTGCTTGGCAGCTTCACTGGAAACATTTGGTGTGTGCCCAGATGGGCTTGTAACACCATATTGGATAAAGCAGTGGTAGTCCTGGGCCCAATTCTTTTGAGTGCCTTTGAGAGAGATTGGGTTGAGGTATCTAATCTTTTCATTTGAACTATGGTCTAAATTTTTTGAACTGGCATCTCATTTTCCCTCCCCGTCAGCAGGGGGAATGATGCCCCATTGACTGTGTTCAGCAATTTCAGACTCTTAATGCTGTGCAGAAAAAAGAGAGGATTTTGTGCCCCAGGTGTGGATTATCAGTGGTTGAAAATTGTTTTTCATGACCAGTTCACTATTCCTCTGTGTGAAATCTTCTTATTATTGTGCCCAAGGACATGACCTGATGGGGTGGGGGTCATGTGGGCAGTCCTGGTTGAACTGGATTTCATTGTCATCATCACAATCGGTACAACGTTGGGATGAACCATCCCGTCGGTGGTTGCACACATGTGGATGCCCATCATTACAGTTGTACACAGCTGGGCATGGGAAATCCCCAAATGCTGGGATTCTAAACTGATGGGTGCATTCCTGGGCTTCAATTTGTGGCTGAATTTTCACTGATTGGGCTGAAAGCAGGCAAGGAATTGCAAGAAAGCACAGTTCCTTCTTGATGAGCATGGTGGAAGACAAACTTGGGAGATATTGTGGTCTTGAGTGGAGATTGAACACAGGAGGTTGGCTGAGAAAGGTTGTTCAGGCAGATTGAAAGTCTAACCAATTAGACCAGGGAGCCAATGCTTGCTTCATGGGAATATGGGGACTTGAACCACAACCTTCACCAGAAAGATTAGGAGCCTGGAAACAAAATGTGGTACACACAGAACTGGATTATCTGGAAAAATCTGATTCATCATATGTATCATCTTGTCTTCCATGATAACTGTATATAATTCTTCTAAGTACCATGTGCTTTTCATCTTGCCATTCTATACTTGCAAGCCTCCTATCGCCTGCCCACCTTTTTAGAAAA